TCCTGTGGTGACTTTGCATTCACAGACATATCAACTTGCACATGCTGAAGCAAATGGTTTCTGCCAATCACCCACCTAGTTAAGTCCCTCACCACCAAATGCTGTTCCTGAGGGTTGGCAGCAGGGCCAGCACTTCCATGCCTTCCCTTTGCACCACTGCCTCCAAAGATAGTGACTGCCATGTGGACAGTCAGCTACAATTTTATTTCAGAAGACACTGGAACAAACGAAGTATTGCGGTATAAATGGCTAATACGCCCAGGAACCTCACCAAAATGCTGGAGAGGATGCACCTCCACATGTGGTGGGAATGTCCCCAAAATCCATTTTTTCTGGACAGCAATCATACAAGAAATATGCATCATAGCCAGACACTGGAGAGAGCTGTCAGCAGTAAGCATAGACCAATGGTATCAAATAGTATGGGAAACAATATACTGAAACTGACACGGGGACAAATAGAAGAAGACGCCTTCACCCCAGTATGGTTCCCCTTTATCACATACACAGCCCAACAAGACAACAACCAGAATCCACCAACTGCATACGAATCAATCTGGCTAACCTGATTCCAAAATACACACACACCCCACTCACACACAAAAACAAATCTCACTACAGCCAGCCAAAGACAACCAACCACACCCTAGGCCACCACCAAGAAAACACAAGTGAATAGTAAGAAAACCCATACAAGTAGCGCTGACACAAAATCCCACACATACACTAAGTAGAAGAATAGAAATATAACCACCTGACTCCACCCCACTCAACATTAGCCCTCCCCCTCTTTTCTTCCTAACCTAACATCGTATGTAACACTAATGTCTCACAACAAATGAAATTGAATTGTAGAAAACACAACTTGAAAAAAGAGACAAGGATGTGTTTATGTACGCGTGTGTGTGTGTGTGTGTGTGTGTGTGTGTGTGTGAAGTCTGGAAGGGCCCTTAATTGCAGCATGCTGTTTCCATTCTGCTGCAGTTCAGTTTCTGACAAAAGCAGCATTATTCATCTCATTCTCTGCTGTGGCAAAGGTTTATGTAATTAAGTGCATAATTAATTATTCTATAATTACATTATTCCACATCATTGATTGTAGTGCAAAGGAAACAATGCAAAGTGGGGCAGAGGTGGGGAGGGGATTACATATCATTTGCAGACTGAAAAGAACAACAGCAAACATTAGGTGTATTCACTGGACTGATTTCTGTTCCAGACACAGGATTAAGGAGCAGACACCAGCAGTTTTTACTCCCTTTTGCATTTCCTATGGAATACTCTGACATGTCCAAACTGGCTTCCTCCTTCTGTCCCCCTGTGTTCACTCAAACCTCCTGCTTCTAGCACCTCCCAGCTTGTACCTTCTGCACATCACAATGATGATTTATTTATTAATTTATTTATTATTAGAATTTATATACCACCCTATACCCGGGGGTCTCAGGGTGGTTCACAGAATAAAATCAACCACAAAATACATAATAAAAACAAAGACAACCCAATAGCCTTCCCACCCCTTCCCCCAAACATTTTTAAAGGGTATAGGATGCACATCAAATCAACCAAAGGCCTGGTTTAAAAGGAACATTTTTGCCTGGCACCTAAAGGTGTATAATGAAGGTGCCAGTTGAACGTTCCTGAGGAGAGCATTCCACAGACGGGGAGCCACTGCAGAGAAGGCCCGTTATTGTCTCGCCACCCTCCGGACCAGAGGAGACACATGAAGGAGGGCCTCAGAAGGTGATCTCAGGGTCCGGGAAGGTCCATATGGAAAGAGGCGGTCCTTGAGGTATGGCGGACCTGAGCCATTTAAGGCTTTATAGGTCAAAACCAGCACTTTTAATTGAGCGCGGAAACTAACTGGTAGCAATCAGACCAGGATCTGTGTAATATGCTCAAACCGTCTTGCTCTGATGAGCAACCCGCCTGCTGAATTCTGCATCAGCTGAAGTTTCCAAACCATCTTCAGAGGCAGCTGTATGTATAACGCATTGCAGTAATCTAACCTTGAGGTTACCAGAGCATAGACAACAGTAGTTAGGCTACCCCTGTCCAGTTAGGGTCATAGCTGGGCCACCAGCCAAAGCTGATGGAAGGCACTCCAGGCCACTGAGGCCACCTGAGCCTCAAACGACAGCAAAGCATCTAGGAGTACCCCCAAGCTATGAAGCTGCTCCTTCAGAGGAAGTGTAACCCCATCCAGAGCAGGTGATCTCCCACCCATCTGGTCTAGGGAACCACCCACTAACAGTGCCTCAGTCTTATCTGGATTGAGCTTCAGTTTGCATTGGGCATGGAAGCTGTATAGACTGGAGAGAAGAGGACTCTACTGGAGAGTTGCAAGTGCAAGGGGTTTTTTGTGGAACAAGGGTGCTGGAATACAGCCAAACTATTCTTCTGGTTTAGATGTTGAAGGGAGATGGAGGGATGCATCAAGTGGGGAACAACCTGACTAGTTTGACAGAGCCTGGTGGGGAGTTTCCTCCATCATCAATTTGGGTGAGCATTAACCCCCTCCCCTTGATAATAATCTTGGCCAAAAATCAGAGTTAGACAGTTTAATTGAACACATTCCAAAAATTAGTTAATTCTTTTGAATCACTTGAGGTTCTCCCCCACCCCCATCTTCTACAGACTCATTATAGCTGGATATTAATTGCTTTTGACAAGAAGTATATGAGAAGACTACTAGTCTGTGAATTACTAATGGAAAAAGCTTTGAGCAGTATCAGTCTGTGCATGCTTAATATATACGTTTCTTTGGAGTTTTACTCCTCAGGAAAAAAAGGAGATAAAACCTGTTATCTAAGATAATAATGTTTTATAGTATGAAAATAAATACTTGCAACCAACCATATTTAGTAGACAGTGGGGGAGGGCAAATACTACATATACAGAAATTGAGCAGAATACTAGAAAAGGGGGTAGAATCCAGTGCACAATTAAGCTACCTATATCCCATTTACTTCAGTAGGATTTAAGCAGCCTAACTTGAGTGCAGGATTTCATGTGGAAAAAGTTAAATATACAAGGACTTAAAATACCGGACAACTGTAAATAGTGGTTTCTTTCTTTTTTATGAAACACGGATTATGTATAGTGGAAAGCAGGTGTATTAATGATCTTCATACCCAAAGCCTACCTTATTGCACATTTCTCTTATATTGCTCAGATTTTCCAAGCCTTTTCTTGCGATATCAGTGTGCTGAGAAAAATGCAAGCAGCACATCTGATTCCCCCGGTGTTCCATCTTAATTGTAAGCAACATTACCTGGAGGTAAGCCCCATTCATTCCAGTGACACTTCTGCGCAAAAGGCTTAGTTTGAAGTTAGCAGTCTTTCCGAGTCTAAAAATCCTAAGAAGAAAAAGCATCCTTGGCTACAAAAAAGCAGAAAGCGAATTGACCAAATTTCAGTAGGAACAGAATATGATGAGCTGGAAATGTTGGGAAAGTTAGCACAAAGGTAACAGGGCTTAGTGAGATGGGAGAGTCTATGGCAGAGAGAAGTTCAGAATCAGAGGCAGAAGGTGAAGCAGGACAGTGGGGTGAGGGAGGCCAAGAGGCAGAAAGATTGACAAGATCTCACTGTGACATGTTTGTGGCATCTTTCTGACCATGAACTTTCTGCCAGAAATTATTATTATTGCTGCTGTTTATTGAATTTATATACCGCCCTATACCCAGAGGTCTCAGGGCAGTTCACAAAAAAGATCACAATAAATAAAATCAAAATAAAAACAATAACCCAATAATAACCCCCCCCCAAAAAAGAACCAGTTTGTAACCTGAAGCGTTTGTAGCCTGAGGCGTTTGTTACTCGAGGTACCACTGTATAATGAAGGCACCAGGTGAACTTCCCTGGAGAGAGCATTCCACAAATGGGGAGCCACCGCAGACAAGGCCCATTCTTGTTTTTCCACCCTCCGGACCTCTTGAGGAGAAGGAACACAAATAAGGGCCTCAGAAAATGATCTCAGGGGCCAGGTAGTTTCAAATGCAAAGAGGCGGTCCTTGAGGTATTGTGGTCCTGAACCGTTTAAGGCTTTCTACGTCAAAACCAGCACTTTAAATTGGGCCTGAGTTCTGCACCAGCTGAAGTTTCCAAACCGTCTTCAGAGGCAGCCCTACATATAACACATTGCAGTAATCGAACCTTGAGGTTAGCAGAGCATAGACAACTGTAGTTAGGCTATCCCTGTCCAGAAAGGGGCATAGCTGGGCCACCACCAGGCTGGGCCCGGGCACTCCAGGCCACTGAGGCCACCTGAGCCTCGAACAACAGCAAATGGTCCAGGAGGACCCCCAAGCTACGAACCTGCTCCTTCAGAGGAAACGTAACCCCATCAAGAGCAGGTGACCTCCTACCAATCTCATGTTTACATTAGAAGAATTCTGTAATGGTTGTGTTTTAATATTTTTTAAAAAAAATTGCGGGGGAGGGGGAAATATAGCCTTTGTGTGTTCTGCACACAAAGGATGGAGGAGAACAGGAATTGTGGTGCCACAACCCCAGCCCTGCTCCCAACACTGTCCAGCTGTTCCCCCTCCCTCTGCATTAATGTATTTAGAGTCTGCAAAGGAGGAGCCCTTGTGTAGGCGTTCTAGTTGCATGGAATGCCACTATGTAAGGAGTTGCATGTGAGCAGTGTACACCTAAGTAATGTAACAAATAAGCATTTTAAAAAACGAACAATGCGCCTGCAACCCCACACTAGCAGATGACATCCCTACCACTGACACAAATGCTGGGGGAAATCTTCATTTCAGCAGTTCTTGGTGTACAGCTGCTGTTAAAGCAGAGCAGGAAGGTGGAAAGGAAGGAAGGAAGGAAGGAAGGAAGGAAGGAAAGAAAGAGGGAGGAGTTTGGACTTGATATCCTGCCTTTCACTCCCCTTAAGGAGTCTCAAAGCAGCTAACAATTTCCTTTCCCTTCCTCCCCCACAACAAACACTCTGTGAGGTGAGTGACTTCAGAGATGTGTGACTAGCCCAAGGTCACCCAACAGCTGCATGCGGGGAAGCGAACCCCGTTCACCAGATTATGAGTCCAACGCTCTTAACCACTACACCATGCTGGCTCTCCAATACTGTGCAACATCTGAAAGGCTCAGTCAACTGGCAATGTCTTTGGCCTTTGCTTTAGAATCCCAAAATGGGACCAGAAATTAATATATGCAGTGCATTTTTTTCCTGGGGTGACGCAGGGCTACGCATACCCTAAACATTTTGTGAATCTAATAAGAGAAGAAACTAAAAATGTTAATTTTTTTAGTTTCTTCTCTAGCACAGTAAATCTTCAGTTCCGTTGAATAGCACAGTGAATTGTCAGTTCCGTTGCTACCCCCCGATGTCCATTTACTGTATGTATTTCCCCCAATTTGAACTATAAAATGGTGATTTTATTGAGTCAAAATGAGAGTACCTCTAAACATTTTTAAAAGAAAAAAGCACTGAATGTATGGATCTGATGACTGTATCTCATCTACCAGTTCACAAGCTTTGAAGAAATCAGAGTTAGCAACTCATGTATCTGGTTTTGCTTTTACATGTTTTTTTTTCATATTTTTTTAAAAAAAATACACAAAAAAACTTGCACATGAAATGTGTCATTTTAGAGCATTCGGGGGGACATCATGGAGGATACTTTGCAATACAATGCGATTGATTTTCTTCTGCGGTTGCAAAGGGAATAATCAAGCACGGGAGTTTTAAAAGTAGTCCAGAGTCATCACTTCCGTAATGCTTCATAGAACATAGGAGAAAAGCAATCAGCAAGCTGGAACTTACTGTGAAGAATATTAATTAATTCCACAAGAGGAGGAAATGAAAGCTACACACATCTACTGTGCAGGCGTGGCAAATTTGAAATGCTTTTATTCCCTTTCTTTACTTTGTAGTACAGTGGTGCCTCGCAAGACGAAATTAATTCGTTCCGCAAGTCTCTTCGTCTTGCGAGTTTTTCGTCTTGCGATGCACGGTTTCCCATAGGAATGCATTGAAAATCAATTAATGCGTTAATATGGAAACCGCCTTCCGACCTGTTCCGGGGACAGTCTGTCCCCGGACCTCTTCTGAAGGCTGGGGGGCAAGGGCTTTTCTTCCCACCCCCAGCATTTTAAAACCCCGGGACAGCGGAGGACTTCTCCGCTGTCCGGGCGATCTTAAAATGCTGGCGGGCGGCATTTTAAAATCACCCGGGACAGCGGAGGACTTCTCCGCTGTCCGGGGCAATTTAAAAGCCCCTGGGAAGGCAGGCAGGGGGACAAAGACTTTGCCCCCGCCAGCCTTCAGAAGAGGTCCTGGACCTCTTCTGAAGGCGGGCGGGGGCGAAAGTCTTTGCTCCCCGCCTTCAAAGCCCTCCGGGACAGGCAGGCAGGGGGAGCAAAGACTTTCGCCCCCGCCCGCCTTCAGAAGGTCTTCCCTCCCCCCGCCCGGCTTCGGAGCACCGCTCCGGCCGGGCGGCGGCGGGAGGTCTTCCTCCCCCCGCCCGGCTCGGAGCACCGCTCCGGGCCGGGCGGCGGCGGGAGGTGTTCCCTCCCCGCCCGGCTTCGGAGCACCGCTCCGGGCCGGGCGGCGGGGAGGTCTTCCTCCCCACCGCCCGGCTCGGAGCACCGTCCGGCCGGGCAGAGGCGGGAGGTCTTCCCTCCCCCCGCCCGGCTCGGAGCACCGCTCCGGCCGGGCGGCGGCGGCAGGTGTTCCCTCCCCCGCCCGGCTCGGAGCACCGCTCCGGGCCGGGCGGCGGGGGGAGGTCTTCCCTCCCCACCGCCCGGCTTCGGAGCACCGCCCGGGCCGGGCAGAGGCGGGAGGTCTTCCCTCCCCACCGCCCGGCTCGGAGCACCGCCCGGCCGGGCAGAGGCGGGAGGTCTTCCCTCCCCCGCCCGGCTCGGAGCACCGCTCCGAGCCGGGCGGCGGCGGCAGGTGTTCCCTCCCCCGCCCGGCTCGGAGCACCGCTCCGAGCCGGGCGGCGGGGAGGTCTTCCTCCCACCGCCCGGCTCGGAGCACCGCTCCGAGCCGGGCAGAGGCGGGAGGTCTTCCCTCCCCCCGCCCGGCTCGGAGCACCGCTCCGAGCCGGGCGGCGGCGGCTGGTGTTCCCCCCCCCCCGCCCGGCTTCGGAGCACCGTTCCGACGCCGGGCGGCGGCGGCAGGTGTTCCCTCCCCCCGCCCGGCTCGGAGGAGCCTTCCGAGCCCGGCGGCGGCGGGAGGAGGTGTCCCCGCCCCGCCGCCAGGCTTCGGAGGAGGTCCGAGGACAGTGGGGAAGACGCGCTGCGCTTCCCGCTGTCCCTGAGATTTCCTATGGGCTGTCGTCTTGCGAAGCAAGCCCATAGGAAATTCGTTTGCGAAGCGCCTCCAAAACGGAAAACCCTTTCGTCTAGCGGGTTTTCCGTCTTGCGAGGCGTTCGTCTTGCGGGGTACCACTGTATTCAAACAGTCTAGCCTTTCCGTTAGTATTTGAGAAAGAGATGACGATTCTAGCAAATCTCTGTATGGTGGTTCTGAATCTAGGTCAGAAAACTGCATCGAGATCAGGGAAAGGAGCTAAAGACACAATGGCAAATTTAAGACCAGCATTGGATATAGAGCATTCTTGGGTGATAACAAGTCAGAAAGCCTAGAGAGCTAAATAGGCAGTAACAGTCTGTGTTTCAGAGTAGAGTAAGCACAAATTGCCAGTGTGGTAGTGCTGATCTGGATCAGAGGGCATTGGGGCTTTAACTCCCAACACACACACACACCAGCCCCAATTCAGATTGGGGGCCTGTGCCAGCAATTGCACTCATTTAAATAAGAGCTTTCCCCTCATTGTTGTGTGGGAAGAGCAACGTTGAAATCCTGGTGAGGTGGGTGGCAAAGGCTTAAAAAGCCCGTTGTCCATACTGGGGTCCTGACCTAGATCAGGGCCCTATGTTGACTGTTAATGTTTTTTTAAAACAAACAAACAGTGCTTGAGGGCACAACTACTGAAGCAGCATATTGTCTATGTGCATCAGTGCCAAGGAACATAAGAACACAATAAACTATTGCATGCTGAATCTGACCATTGTCTACACCAGAGATGGGAAACATTTTTGACCCCACAGATCAACTTTGACAAGTGGGACAGTCCTGGATTTACAGAAGCCACCCTGGTTTCTGATTTGATCTCAGAATGGGCTGCTTTTCCATAAGGCGTCCCTATTTTCATCAGAGAAATATTAAAGGGTGTGGTAGGATGTCCCTTTTTTCATCAGAGAAATATTGGAGGGTATGGAGTCACACACCCTTCAGTGATTTCAGCTGATTGTCAGGTAGGTGTGGTGACGTGAGAACAGCCTCAAAAACTAATTTGGACCCACTGGTGGGTTGGTAAGCCTGAAGTTCCACACCCTTATGATACAAGGACATTTATATTCTTCAACATCATCCTTCTCTTATTTTTTGTCCAGTTAATCAAGACTTGGGGAAAGTACTGTGCTTTCAGGACAATGGTGATGACCCTGGAATTCCACCCATGGTTGTTGGATGTGACACAGAGTCATGGAATTCTATGTATTTCCACCTAAGGGAATGATATCACTGCACACGTAATTTTTTCTTTCATTATTTTTCATTCAAGAATTTTAGAAAAATAACCTGTTGGGCTAGGACTGAATATAAGAATCTATTTTCCACTGTCCTTACATTGACAATGAAATGGACAAAGATTGCTAATCAGACTTTCTAACATATGTTTAATGCCTGGCCCAGATATAAGTCCTCTGTAATTTCCTAATTTCTTCTAGCAGCATGAGCACCAGAGACCACACCAGCTTTCCTAGCCAAATCAAAATAGGATGTCATCCAAAATCTAGAGCTTGAACAGGATCTTCTCATTTATGTGGCATATGTATTTCCTAAGCTCTCTTTGTTTATGTGTAATATATGTTTTATAGAGGAGAAAACTAAGGAAGCAGTAGGCCATCATTTTGGCCTCTTGCTAAAGGAAGGTCTTTGTAAGACGGCCCAATTAATTTGCCCAGGACATTTGCTAAGATGGCAACTGACCTCATATTTATTGATGATAACATGAACATTTACCAAATGCAGATATAATAGGCATGTTTCATAGTAGGGTATAGTTTTCTGCAAATGACTTGCTTCAAGTATCCACAGAAGATGGAGCCATTTTAGTCCAAGTTCTACCTTCTTGGACCATCACCAGAAGTTCTTAAACCAGGGCGAGTCACCCTTCAGATGCTGTTGGACCAGCTCACATTATCCATGACCAGTGGCTATGCTTGGAGTTATAGTCCCACATCATTTGGAGGGCATCATCCCTCACTTTTTTTTACCCATTTTTCCCATAACAAAAAAAGAAGCATGTTTTGAAATACATTATAAATATGGTAAAGGGTGCTTTTAAAAAAATCAAGGTGTTCATGTTTTTGAACCCCACCTAGAAATCCAGTCAAACTGAAATTGTTCTTTTTATATAAAACAAACTATTGCCAAAGCATTGTTATAACTATTATTAATATTAATGTGTTTTTGGGATGGGTAGGGCATCGCCTGAGAAATCCTGTTAGTCTTATAGAAATAATTTTATGTTCCCTCAAAATGTATCTTCCAAGGTTGAATTCTCAAATTTATTTCCAGTTTAAGGCAAATTGCATCCAGTTTTCAGTTCTTGGGAAAGACTTGGGTTCCCAGATACTGGTCCCTCCTGAACATTTAGTTCCACCCTGATTCCTCATCTGGAAACAGGCAATGATTATTGTCAAACTTGGCTCTCCGAAGTTGCCAGATGAACTTAATGTGTTTGGGTGTGACTTGATTTGTTGGTGGTGCTCAACCTAACTGAGCAGCCACCCATTAAATGATACTCTGTGGAATGTTTCTGTGTGAGATCACACGCTTGGTCATTTCACCCTTTTAAAACACCAGACTACATAAGCTTATAAAATGAAATTCAATTAATTTAATGAATACGTCACTTAGTCACATGAACTGTGATGAATTACTCCATGAGGAGAAAGAATAGGATTTAAAGAAGAAGCATGCCTGTAACCTGTTCTTTAGATATAAGCAGTATAAGTTGTATCAACCAATTACTGTGCGAACA